CCGCCGCTGCCGCTGCTGCCGACGACGGAAGCGAGAGCGACAACGGCAGCGGTAGACTCAATGGCGATGTACTGCCGCCACTGCCAGCGCCACTGGCTGAGGGAGTGCCTCGTTCTTGACTCTGTGACTGGAGTAGTCCCGGCGATGACTGTCGATGATGGCTCGGTGGCCGGGAGGACGGCGGCGAAGTCAGGGCCGAGAGAGGCTTCGGGTGAATCGTTGGCGAGGGTGAAGCTTCCTTGTTGTCTGTTGACGACGATATGTCACGAGTATCAACACAAGAAGCACCTCCCATACCGCTACCGACACGTGCAGCAATGCCACCTCCAATGCCAGCACTGGTACCACTACCGATAGCGCTACCCGCACCTCCGACATTGCCGAACGGAGTACCTGGATGACTAGTGCTTGTTGTCGTACTTGTCGTTGTCGTCGAAGTCACCCCCGTACCCGGTAGCCCTGTTCCAGTTGGAGTTCCCGGAACCGTCGGCTGACCATGCGTTATCGAGAGCTGTTGCTGCAGTTGACTTATCAATTGCAACTGGAAGACCTGCTGATGCTGGAGGGTGTAGAGAGTACTCTGAAGCAGCGCCAAGTCCTGGAGGGCCGCCTCGCTGTCGGCACCTCCAGCTAGCGCGGTGGCTGCGAATTGCGCCACGGCGACTTTCGTATTCTGAAGGGCCTCAAGGGTCACGTGACTTGCTCCAGGTGGACCGAAGATCCCACTTGGTGGTCCACCTTCGACAAAGCTGTTGTTGTTCTCCGCATCCTGACGATGTCGCATCACCTGCTTTCGCGTTCCTTCCTCCTCCTCGTCCTGATCCCCTGGATCTTCGACACCCTCCTCGTCCTCTTCGTCCTCGTCCATTGGCAAATCCTCTCGATCCCTCTCATCCTCCTCTCCATGATGAGATCGCCTAAGGTCTACGGCCTCGTCGACTGGACCTCCTGTTACTTCACCGCCACCAACACCACCACCACCGCCACTTCCTTCTACCCCTCCTACGATGCCTCCTCCAGCACTTTCTTCTCCGTCTGACCCGGACTCGATTCCTTCCCCTGTAACGATCAAAATTTTATGATGTTACGTTGCGGGATTCACTTCATCGCTCATTTGCGTGTCTCCCACATATCAAGTAGATTAGGCTACATTTTATTACATAGGGTTAGGCAGGTCTCATATTGATTAATTTACATAAAATGGTGGCTCGATTATCATCCGGTCTATTGCTTTCAGTTAAACATTAAATACACTGACATTTTTAATTTCTAAAGTCAACTAATTTCTAGAGATATCCTTTGTTATCAACGAACCCGATATTCAATTCATGGATACTCATTAATTATCCATAATGTCTGCTGTATATCTGCCAACTATACCTATCCAAACTATTCGTACACTACAATCAAACCGTTACAATCGATCGAAACTGCATAGCAATTTCTTATGAACCCACAAAATTACGTATACTTAAGCATATATGTATAATATCTATCCCCTATGACCTGTCTCCCATCGGTATTACATTTTCAGTATGCAAATCTATTATTATATTCCATCGGCAGTATAGCCTGTCTAGCGTACAAAAATATTCATAGTTGCAAGTTCAAACATGAGTTCACAAGTAAATAATCATAGAACTCAGACCAAGAATTATGTACAAAGAAGGTACGACTGACAATGAAGCTAAATTATCGAGCGTGTCACGAAGCCGTGTGTCGTGAAAGACGACTAGAAATGAGGATCACGACAAAGGTATGCACACGTAGGAGCCGACGAGCCTATACCCGGAATGGCAAAGAGCCAAAGAACATCTGTCATTCGATTGGTCAAATCAAAGTGCTAGTTTCGTACCGGAATACTGAGAGTAGGCGATATCACGGGACCCAGGCGAAGTAGTGCGTTCGGCCTGACAGATCTTGATGTCGCGACGCTGCTTGTTACTGCGGCTCTCGAGTCGCCGTGTGATGCTCCATCGCATCAGCTGCATCGTTTATCAAGTGCACTATTTTGTAACCGCTTCTCCGAGACCCTACAGTTCGGTCAGCTGATTTGAGGTTCGGCATCAAACCCACTGGATCTTCGACGCGGTTCGCATTCGGCGACCGGTCGTCAAACTGACGATTATTTAAGAGACTCCAGTATAAAGATGAACAGAGATACCAAAATCCACGAAAACTAATAATACTGCTTCTTCTTGCAGTAACAGACACGAAACGAAAATCGAAAAATTATTTCCAAGTGAAGACACCGTACGATGCAGTCGCGCGTATGAAAGCCGGCTTTAAGCTGCCGTCGCAGCAAGCCGCAAGGACGAAATCCGACTGAGCGCTCGAGAAAGAAGAAGCCTGGGCGTAGGTGCGTCGGACGCCGCTGCACGGCGCCGTCGGTGCCACCGCTATCCCCACTGCCATCCAGTGGTTCCCCTCCGTAACATAGTGGAAGGTCCACCTCCACGTAGTCGGCTGGTTATGACAGGGAGGGCGGCGCTCTTCATAAATCAGGGGGTCAGAGGCGGAGCATACGAGAGCCACTCACCGACCACTTATTAATTATTATCCAGCCACTCGCCACCCTCCCGCTACACCTCCACCAGAGAATCATTAGGAATACCAGAGCCACCTACGCTACTGCTGTTGTCGCTGCTGCTATCTTCTGCTCTACTTCGGCAACTATGCTTGGTCCGCAACGTCATCCTCGGGCATTGCCACTTTTTCAGCTGTCTCAACGCGTCGCCACACTGAATCTATTGGATCTGCTATACATATTGTCTCTTACTTCTTTTGTCCTGCCGCATCAGAGAGCAACGTACCATATTGCTGTTTTCTTTAACCTTTTACATTAATTCTTGTAATACCTGTCTCCCGTCGTAACGCCATCCTCTGGCATTGATTGCCAACGCGAATCCTGTAGTATACGATACCTCTATACACTCGCTGGTTTAGCGCTACGGGACTAACCATTCTTTCAGCAACGCTACCAATCCGATTATTGACTACCGACTGGAAACTCTGTCACCTCGTACGGCTTCAATCGTCTTTTTCCATCTTTTGGTTCTGTCCAGTACCTATATCCTTCGGCTCCCCTACACTACTTTCCCCCTGTCAACCGAGCTCTTTCGATCGCCAGATTTTGTATCCCGACGAAAGTTTGCCACTGCTCGAAATAACCGACAGACGGAATTCGTAGAGATTGGATGCGTTCCAAAGAGACCTTATTGGTACGTCTGCGTCTCTTTAAACCGTTCGTTCGGTACCGACGACATGCGTGCGATACGATTATGGTCGTAAGTCAGACTCGGCACGACGTCACGAGTATCCTGTCTGTATCATCTCCGGCGGGTAAGAAGTAACGCGAAATAAAGAGGCGAAGAGAGAAGGAAGAGTCGTGTTCGGGTGGGGGGAACGAGAAAGGACACGCGCTCAAGAATGGACGCACGCTTCCTACCTGCCTCGATGATTTACGAAGCGCCTCTCGGTCAAGCGACAGTACGATCTCTTTCTTCCACACGACTGAAAGAGACGCCGAGGGACGGGGCCGAGTTTTTCCCGATTGCGCAATGCATTCCGTGCGTCGCGGAAGTTCGGAGGTTCGCATTATGCCCAGGAGAAGAGTACCTATCCCAAGGCGGAATATCCTTGCGGCCGTCAACCGCCACCATAATGGCCTTATGGCAGCAGGACTCGCCTTATGAATTCGACTGATTTATTACTCCGTAAATCACAGCACTCGGCCCTGCGCCGTGTCGACTCAGGTCCAGTTGGGTCGGAACCGTCCAAATCGGCTTTCTCGGTAATCTCCAACTGGTATCTGGGTGAAGGTCGACTCTTGCGAATGCCATGGACTTGAACGTGAAAATGTCTCCGAAGTCATAATTCATCGACCGCGTCATGGTCCCATCACATCGTTTCTAAAGGATATGCCCCACCGCGTTACGAGGATTCTATTTACATCGAGGAAACTCCTGATGATGGAATCGAGCGATATCTTACACGTGGCGCAGCGTACCAGACAAGAAGACACGGAAACAAGAGGGTCAATAGCGATCTCGGAAAGTGCATCGAGCCCTCTCGATATCGAGACGTGCTAAGTATACTAGGAGGATCGCGTAACTATGGCGCAGCTAACTTTAAAATAGGTTAGGTCAGAGAAGGGGCCTCCTCGTGAGGCGGAGAGAGAAGGAAGTGAAGAAGGGACGAAGAGGAGTCGAAGCTGTGCGGAGTTCGAGAGCGGCACGACCTGGTAGACCTAACCCAAGGATTTGCAAGGGACTATCTTATCGGGTTGAGCGGCCGCTACACCGTACCAGGGACTATTTATTTATTTGCAAATGAATAAATAAGGCCGATCGATGCTCGCGCTGAATCTCGATACACGCCACACGGATAGCTCTCTACCAGATGGAGCTCGCGGCCAGAGAGGTATTGCAGGGCACGGGAGACGAGAAAAGGGATAAAACGTATAAGGCGAAGGAAAGGTCGACCTGGCGAGGGACGAGGTGGCGAGGGGGGATCGCTCGTGTCATACGCGAAGCCCTTATCTTTCCTTCGAGTGGAATCACGATCATCGTTCTCGCAACGCAGCCGCCCGGGTACACCGATCCCACCCGATACAATGATACCGAACCTTACAGGCCATACCAATCCGAGACCTCGTGTAAGTGGGTTTTAATGTTAGCGCCGCTAGTCCCGGGGATCCCATGCCTTCGCTTACACTATGATATTGCTTTCGATTCTTCGCGAGCTTCGACCTCCTGCGAGATCGTTCCACCTCCACCGGGTAGGGATGCCATTTCTGCACAGGCCGTAGGATCCCCTAATAACCTGGCCGTGGAAGGGCCCTCGTCCGCGATGCGACGTTAAGAGAGAATTTTCTTATTAAGAGGAGCCTGCGGCCTGATTCTCTTTTACGGGGCCCTTTTTACGACGACAACCGCGAACCGAACCGTAATAATCGTAATAATCATCGTGGCAATAACGTCCGAGTAGGTTTGAGAAGACGATGCTGAAGTTGAAGCAGGCAGTGGAAGGAAGAGAGCAAGAATAAAGAACATCGGCTCGTATGCGGTTTGCGTGCCGGGATGCGTGTCCGAGTGCGTGCACGCCGTCCATTATGAGCATGCTCACCCTCTTTACGGCGGATTATTATTTAAATGCTTCGGGGCCCTGTGCCCAGCATCCTCTCGACTTCGCATCTCCTTCCGGCGAGGCTGTAAAGTTTCCTTTTCCTTGAGGTAGTAAGAACCAAGACGCATATAGGAGCTCTAGTACGAGCTAATCATCTTCGGAATGAACCCGAGCCTCCGAAGGGTCAACTGGCAAGGGTCTATGAGGTAAGGATCGTTCACACGAGGTCAGCTGGGTACTTTGAGTCTTGGAAGGACTGAACCGTCGGAAGATCAGGATGCTGGTGCACCCCCTCCGACTGGCTTAACCCCATCCGCATTGGTGGCGCGTGGATATTCTTTCCAGTCGATTTTAACGCCGCTTGACCATCGGGTCAACCTGGCGGCACTAATGCACTACCTTTTCTCATGCCTATATAATGGATGCTTCGTGTGAGTCGTGTGCGCGAGGAATCGACCGTTTTGGTATCGTGGCGCCATTTACGACTTATGGATAAGAGATTGGCAATCGTGTACGCCACGGGCTATGTAGCCCGGGCGAAACGTTGATCAGGAGTCTTTACCAGCTGCTGTTACGTTCTATGTATACCTTCCGACGTTGGTCATCATTACGAGTCATCAGCCATCGTTGCGATGCGTGTCTTGCGCTGAGCTTGCTCGCGCCCATTGGTAGGACTAACTAGCCTCTCTGAAATCGGTGCGAATCGCGCGTGCCGTTCTACGAGTTTTCTCCGAGAAATCGCCGAGAAGCACACCTGGCCGAGCGCCGGAACGCCGAGGGCCGATCGGCTTTACGACACCCAGCGACACACCTAATTAAAACGTTCGCCAAGTAAGAGTGGACTCTCGATATACGTGATACGCCTTTCATACATTTATCAAACTTTCTATAAATTATCAGGAAGAATATATTGATTGACGTGAGGTCATAGT